TATCCCATAATCCCTGCCCAGTCTGATGTAGTTTCAACTTCTCTTATAGATCTTCTATTCTCTCATGTAGTCAGTGATCACTGGACTGGCCAAAACAACCCAGCCCTCAGTGACACCAGCCTCCAGGAAGTCAGAGTCAGTGTACAGGAAGTGGGGGTCCTACCAAGTACAAGCACAGTACCACCAGACTTAGATAGATACACAGGATTGGATGAAGTGATGAAACGGCATGGATACACCCAGCAGAACAGCCAGTCTGATTGTGAGGTTGTGAGCGTGCCTGACAGCAAACTAGAGGAAACTCAAGCGCCTACTTTAAGGTATGTATTCTTCCTTTAAATAGATGTCACCAAGTTAAGCAAGCTGAGACCAATGCTGCTATCTGAATTCACAGCATGGAAGGAACAAATATTGAAGTGTGCGTGGAAATTGAAACCCATCCTAGAGGGGCCAGACATTCCAGCTTAAGTAGCATGTTGTCAAGCGGAAGCTTATCGGCCGAGTCTGTGGGAAACTTCCAAGATCATCCATGTGCCTCGGGACAGGACGAAAGACGAGAAACAGTGGGACTCGGAGAGGAGCTCAGTAGACCAGAGAAACTGGGAAGAAAATCACGTGGAATGGAAGAAACATGCTTTCAAGTCATCGAGGCAGTGGATGTATGAGGTCCCTCAGTTGGAGATTAAAGCAGGTTTAAGGGACATGTTTAATAGAGAGATCTGGGAACTGAATCCACAGCCAAGGCCATCTCCTGCTTTTTAATCCCGACCCTCCCACCAGATGCCTTCACACCCTGAGGAAGTTTTGGGTTCTAACTGAGCAAATTTAAAAGATGAATGTGTTGAAGTTTATATAAGCATGAGACTGTGACTTAGAGAATAGTGCTATGAACTAAAAAGAAATGAAAGATTTATAACTGGCTAGTTCAGACTGTTTTTCTTTGTTTTCCTTACCTTACCTTCTCACGATTTGAAACCTTTCTTAAACTCCTAAACTTATTTATCTGTTCACTCTTAACCCTTACCTCTCTCCCTCCTTACCTTTTACAATTTATAATACCACAAATGGCATGACTTATTACCGAGGGAGGCTTGATAATCCAACTGCTATTGTTTTAGCAATCTAATATGCTGCAAAAGCCAAGATACGAGATAGGAAGAACTCTATCTGATCCAACACAGTTGCAGCCGAAATGCAGCCCATTGATGCAATGGACAGCCTTTAACAGATGCATGCTACATTCTCTGCAAAACTGTTTGTGCTTATAATCCATTACTGGGATCTGAAATTTGCTTTGGAAATGATGCAGAACCCCGGACTCGTAAAAAACAGGATTCACAATTCTAACACATATCCACAGTCTTCCAAGGAAGCAGCTAAGCGCATTGACATTTTGCATTCTTTTAGTGCCGCGTTGCGCCTTTAAGAAACTTTCCAAAACGGAGAAATGTGTTTGTATGTGAAAGTACTCACTTTAATGCAAAGCCACACAGCAGAAACACCACAGTCTTAACTTTTAGCAGCTGCTCTGAGGCGGTTGTACAAGCGTCAGTGTTTCCACGTTAACGAACTTGCACAGATTCTCTGATACGCACCAGTTAGCATAGCTGCAGTAAAGTGTGAGGCTGAGAACATTACAATATACTCTAATCACCCTATGAGGTCATCACTGAGCAGATTACAACAGCAGCATGGAAAAAAACGGGAACCATCCCTTCAAGGTCATTTGTGAGGGCTAACCACATGCACTGCTTAACTTCCAGGCGTGAAATAGTTCTGAACTCGTTCTTGACATGAAAACCTATGCTGGTTTGTGGACACAAGTCGAATAAAGATTTCACCATGAACCATAAATACGGGACGTGTCTGCTTTCTGTCTCCTTATTAGGTGTTTTATTGATTACATGTTTTTTTTTTTGTAATTATGCTGATAATTGGACTCATTACAAAAATATTTGCTAAAATAAAAGTAGCACAGTGAGGCAGTTGTTAGTACTATAGGTTCTCAGGAAGGTGGTTCTAGGTTGAAAACCCTGCCATTGCCTTTTTTTTTTGGCAGAGTGCTTGTATGTTTTTCCCACACAAATGTGGCATTTACAAGGTACTCCCTCCCACTCTCCAAAAACTTTGTGATAGAGTGATGGAGAAGCAGGTCACTTGGGATGTTTTGATGAGGGGGAGATGGCTCCCAACCAAGGGCTTCACAGTGTAAGAGGATCTACCACCAGGAAAAAACTCAAAACAATACACAAATGAAAAAGTCATGGAGACCAAGTGGATTGAATTAACCAAATTGAGCTGCAGAATTACAGTTTTTTGTTTAAATTCAGAGTAAACTGCAAAGTTGGTGCAGCAAATACTGTAAGTCAATCATTTTGACTGACTTAGAAGGTAGGACACAGAATTCAGGTAAGATGGACAGTGAAATACTTAAAAAGCATTTTTTTCAAACAATGACGAAGATTCTGCAGTGGTGATCAGAAGCAGGATCATATTGGAGAGAAACACAGGTTAGTAACTGTGATAATCTGACGGAGGATGAGTATGAACGCCTGAGTCACTAATCTGGTTTGACAGTTCAGTCCGTACCCAGAGAACAAGGATGATTCCAGCCAGTCGGCTGAACAGACGCTCCCGGAGAGTTCCAGACGCAGAAGCCTGGAAGGCTGCAGAGCTGACGAAGGAAGGCAGGATAATCCACAGGTAGAAGTCCAGAGACAGATCCAGGTTCAGTCCACAGAAGAATCCTACAGGAGTCCGAAGACAGGCAAGCAGACTAATCAAGACAGGGGCAGGCAAGCTCAAAGGTCCAAATACAGAAACAGATCAGGATCAGAACACTATCGTAATGCTAGAGAACTCTCAACACCAAAGGCTCAAGAATAATCTGGCATCGATGGCTGGGAAACATGAAGCTTAAATAGGAAACTAGAACAGGTTCGATCTGATGAGTGATGAGGAACAGAGCAGAGCTAGACAGGTGAATGAAATGAGAAATCAAGCCAGCCATCAGTGCCAAAACCATGACACCTTTTTCCTGTGCTCTTTTTTGTACTTTCTATTAAATACAAATTTTTGCTGGTGCATAGGTAGTGAACAACGGGGTCACTGAGGGCAGCTTGCAAAGCAAATTGCCACTGATTCTATTACTTGACCACTAACTGCTAGATGGAAGTGTTCGGTTTTTTATTGGATATGTAAGATGCACAGAAATTGTAACCTGACAACAGCCAGATGCATGTCTCGAGCTAGGCGGAGCGAGACATGCATCTGGCTGTTGTCAGGTTACAGAAATTGCACATTACATTTGCCTTTGTAAACATGGCTTTTGGTTACTCTGTGTCAACAAGTCAGACTTTTCTTTTGCTTTCAACTTTTTGAACAATTTCTGATTGGCCAGTAGAGTGAAAGTAACATCCCTTTTAAGTAGAATACAGTTAAGATTTTGTCAGACATGCATACCAGCTCTAATGGGAACATGAAAACATACCTGACTAGGACAAAATGTGACCAAAGAAACAAAATGTAAACATGGTATTGCCGCTGTTTCAAAATCAAAGTGAAAAATTGGCAAATTTCATACAGGATTTTTTTTCTTTTATTTAAATAAATTAGATTTAAGTATGAAAATGAAAGGTACGGTACAGATCATACCTTATAGGGACAAATTATTTTCACCCAGGTTTGTTGAATTCATATTTAACAAAAAGGAAAATTTACTTGTAAATGTTTTACTTTTTTAAATCAAGTAATAGCACATATGATACTCATTAATGTAGAAGTCATGTAGAATAAAAAAAAAAATATTTGTAATTCTATGTGGTAGATTAGCATTTCACACAAATTTCTATTTCCAAAGTACTTAATAAACTTAGTATTTAAAAGTTTTATTTTAAAGGTTCCCATAAATATTAAAAGATATAAAGTAAAAACAGATTTCTAAATATTTTCTATTTAATGTATCTAAATATTTTTTAAAAATAACAACTGGTTTTATATTGTTAGATGCTACAGTAGTTTCACTGAAATATTAACAATTTGGGCATAATTTTAAGTGTCAGGAATTGGTTGAGGTTTTGAGGACCCACATGCAGAGGCAGGGAGGCAGTTTCTTGTAGTTTTAATGGAGTGTTCACAGGTAACAGAGACAGGAATCCAAAAATCCAGCTTAAAAATGCAAGACAAACCAGAACCATGGAGACATCAGGGAACACTTGCACTAGGAGCCGGTGAAAGTTGAGGAACTGCACAGGGAGAGTGTTTATGGCTGACTAAACAAAGACAGGATCTGAGCTGATTGGGAGCACGTGTGAACAGAGGCTCCTAGAAAGGAGCTAGGGAAAAGGGGACCAAATCAAGAGGACAACAAATAAAAACCTAAGAACTCAAATACATCCAGAAAACACCACAAAATAGGAATTAAACCAATAAAACTAGAAAACAAGGAAAGACATGAATCAATGTGAAAAATGAAAAATCAAACAAAAAACTTAACTGAACCAAGACCATGACATTAAGAATTTTCTATTAAGAAAAATTAAATTATGTCAATATATCTTTTATACTTCAAAATTTATCACAAATACAATCTGATTTATAAAGAAATAAACTCCTAGAAAGGCAAATTTTTCATAACGCAGGTAAACATTAGCTCCACTAGAGGGCGCAAAAACACAAAACATGTAAAACCGTAGAACGGTTTCAAACAAACTTAATTTAGAGAAATGTGTGCATTAAATTCACTGCTTTGGTAAAAAAATACAACAGACCACACAGATAATATGAAAATAAATTAAAGCAAATCTCAACAGTACCCACACATTAAACAATCTAACAAAATAAAAGTAGCCTATTAGTATATAAAATTTATTTTTAATTGCAAATATACAACTAATAATAAATATAACTGCGATGATTTATTATTAGTTGGAAGAAGAAGAAGAAGAAGCTCTATAGCCCCTGTAGCTTGAGGACACGCCCTTAACTTTGGAAACGGTGCAGTGGGTTCGCCTGCTTCCCTTCAGCTGCACATCACACAGAAGCGGCTGTAATCGGAATCAATTTATTTGTCCCTTTTCCTCGTCTCTTTCCACTGTGGTGACGTCAGTCGTCGCGTGGAGCGCAGTCAGCCGCGTTTAGCTCCCTGCGGTGCGGAGGAGACAGAGGGAAATCCTCCTGCCGGAGAGCGGACACACCTCGGGATGGATGCGCTGAAATCTGCCGGCAGAGCCATCATTAAGAGCCCCGGCGTCCCGCGACACACCTGGGGAACTTCAAAGCATGAAAGTCAGTGAGTGAAACTGTGTGTTAGGAAAGATTACACATATGTAATAACAAGGAGACTTTCTGCCTGCAAATGTTGGACTGCCATCCTTTATTATTGTTTAGTTGTTATTTCTGTCTTCCTGTTTAATTGTGTTGCTTTATTAAATAAACAAATAGATTTCTTAGTTCTAATAGAAAAGAGACAATAGCATGAAGCGAAGGGGAAAAATCACAAATTTAAACACCTGAGAGATAAAAGTACAAAGATAAGCATTTGTATTTATTTATTGTATTTATTTAATTTCATGCATTAAAATGACTGAACAGGACTGCATTTTGTTACATTTAAACTTAGGAGGTCTAAGTTTCTGTCTCTTTTCTAAATTTATTCGTCTTTTTACTTGAGGAACCATTTACTAACTCTGCTAAGGATATGTAACCTCCAAGCTCTGGATTATCTTCGTGTTTTAATTGGATTTTAGGTGCTTTGATTGGCTTTAAGTTTCTCATCCAGAAAACATATTCTTAGTCTGATGTATCCAATCTAAAACCAGCTTTGATGTTTGTTTGGGATCCTTGCTTTATTTAAAAACCCAGAATGACCAAATACTCTCATCCAGCTGCTGAGGTAAATATTCAGTCTCATATATGGTGCTGACACCACCATGCTTGACTGCTGTCAAAGCAAAATCAGACTTTTATTCAATCTGACTAACATTTTTCCCCCAGCTTTTTATTGTCTTTACACTGTTACAATTACAGAGCAACGAAATTCCCTCTCTGCAATTAAGTAATCCACTTGGGGAGCAGTGGGCTGCCATTGTGCAGCGCCCGGGGGAGCAGTGTGGGGTTAAGGGACCCAGAGTGGGATTCTGTGGGAGTGGGGCTCAAACTCAGAACCTCGGGATTCCAAGCTCCTATTTAAGTAGATTAGAAACCTTTTTGCCACTGTGCCCAAATAACTTGGTATTTTTCCTTGTCTGTCTATAAAACCTTTCTCCATGACCATGCAGTTCTCTGTAGATCTTCACAAAGTTCCTCAGATTTTCCCATTGTTTTGAATTGATCAATACGAGTGCTGTCAAAAAAAATCTTGATATATTAATGTTTATTTAGTGAATCAAGTTAAACCATCACCTTTGTAGGTAATTGTCAGTGAGTGGGGTATGGAACCCAGCCAAACACTGATTCCTAAATTTTCACATTTTTATCATGTTATCACCATGGAGAACCCTCCAAAAACATGCTGGGTTAATCACAGTCCCTAAATCACTATGAAGAAAGTAAACCTTTATAGCACTTCCTGAATAACAGCCTGTTATAAAATTAGATTTCCTATTTTCAATAACTGAGTTATGTTATTTAACTTTAGACATTAACATTAAATACAAAATCGACAAGTTATATACAAAGTTATTGAATTTATTTGGTTCTTTTTTACCCAGGAAATACAGGTACAGCAAAAAAAAAAAAAATCCCTGAAAGCTTTTTTTTCTCATTTCAGAAAGTGAAACTTATATGCTACTAAGATAATTTCTTGCTCGTTTAACAATTATGCCTTTTTTTTTAAATTACTTTTTATATTTATAAATTACCTTAAAACAAAAATGGCTGCCAGCAATTGCTGCCCATATAAACAGTAATATTGAACACATAAATCAAGCAAAGAACAATAAGAGTAGAGTTTAAAGACAGCTTTGTGAAACAATTACAGCAGGTTTAAAAGAAAAATCTCTTGTTGGTAAGGAAACCCCAGATTTATGTTAAGGTGAATAAAAATTGAGTATTCTAAACAGAAACATCACACAGATGGCTGCTTTTGTTGTAGCCTTTGGAAGCCAGCAGACCAACAGCAGCAGATGACATGGGAACATGATATTTGGGTAACAATACAATATTATTTTGATATTGCAATATCACGATTTAGTTAAATTTCTCCCATTGTTTTAATTTCAAAGAAATCAATATTAGGAACTGAAACGTCTATGTTATATTGAAAATTGCCACATAAAAAAATGATTTTTTTTCCCCCACACCCTCTAAAATACATTTTGTTTTGTTTTTTGTTCCATTGCACACCTGGTTGTATTATCTCTTATACTGTTCATATTTTATGATTGAATCCCAAATATTTTATTGTTTAGTCAACACCTCTGAAATCCACAAAATGCAATGTAATAGTTTGCTTTTTAGAGTTTTAGCATCAGACAGGGCCCAGTTGGCTCTTATATTGAAGAAATTTCTTTTTTTCTGTGAGTATTTTCCAATGTTTATGTTTTTTTGCCTTTTGTTTTCAGTTATTGCTGCAGATTATTTACTGAAATAATTTTTCATCAAATCAAGTTGTTTAATAGGAATATCTAAAAAAATAAATACAGCAAATTGGCTACTGTATTCTTAGTAGGGGTGAGTGTCGCCATGGGTGTCACGATACTTGGGTCATAATACGATATTATCACGATATTGCAATATTTCTATATATTGCGAAATTTTACCCAGCTTTCAAAATTAAGATGAAAAGAAGCAAGTTCTGTATATATGTTCGTCAGAAGGTATCTTTATCTTGGTATTCATGTTGTTTGAGGTTTGAGTCCGTCCATGTCTTCTACTGTGACTGTCTCAACTACAGATATTTTGCTGCTTTGCTGCACAGGAAAAGAGCGCCATGATGCTATCTACCAGAGAGGTGGTGCAGAGGTAGCCCATCTTTCCTCATTGGTTTTAGGTACCAATTTTTTTTTTTTATTGATAATAGGAACTGTCCTGCGCAGTGTTGCAGTTGGTAGCACTGCTGCCTTGCAGCAAGAAGGGGTCTTTCTCCATGGAGTTTGCAAGTTCTCCCTGAGCATGCGTGGGTTCTCTCCAGGGACTCTGGCTTCCTCCCATAGTCCAAAAACATGATTGTTAGGCTAATTGGCTTCTCTAAATTCTCCTTAGGTTTGAGTGTGTTCATGAATGGTTGTTTGTCCTGTTTCTCTCTGTGTTGCCCTGCGATGGACTGGCGACTTGTCCAGGGTTTACCCCGGCTCTCGCCCATAGACAGCTGGAGATAGACACCAGCATCCCTCGCGACCCCGCTTGGGATTGTCAGAAAATGGATGGATGGATGAATGGGTGGATATTAGGAACTGAAAAATCTATATTATATTGGGCAGTCAAAAATCACGATATATCAGCAAATCGATTTTTTTCCCCACACCCTAATTTTAGCATATGAAATGTAAATTTTACATGTTGGTAACACTTTTAATCTGACTGGAGTCTAGTGGAATTGCTTCAAAAAATAAACGTCGATCAGTTCAGACTTCTGTCATTGCTACTGTACCCTTAACCAAAAGTGAAGGATTTTGTTTATAATGTGCATTTCTGACTTTTGTTGGAAACGGGCAGAAGTACGAAGTTCAGTTCTTATCACTGTTTTCTAATGAACATTAGAGGTACACTTGGGTAGTGGGAGGGGCGGGGTGGCAGTTTCTTTTATAACCTTCAGTGTAAAAATGCAGATAACAGCTGCATTTGCTGTATCCTCATAGCGAGGTGGGAAACTGTTAGAACTGGCTGTTAGAAAGGGGCAGAAACAACATTTTCTGCATCTCAGCTGTGTTCATGTTAGTCTCCTCCAGCACAGACCAACAAATGAGAGGAACTTGTGTCTGAGTGAAGAGTCCTTCAAACAAACCTTATCCCACCATCGCTGACAGATTGTTTTACCGCCTGCAGTCCTGCTGCCTCACCACTGTGTTAATGTGATCTCTAATTCTCCCTCCCTGAAGCCTGTAAGCCTCTAAAAACTAGCATGCTGCTTCATGAATAATCCGCCACCCATGTCAGAGTTCATTAAACACGACTAATTCATTTCAAATCCACTAAGTTTTTCTTGGCATCTTTCAGCTGTCGGAAATCTCAATCATGAACGATTTGATTCTGGACAAAAAGTTGAATAGAGGCATCTGTAAATGATAGATTCATTTTGAATTTATGCAAAATGTCTGCAAAAAGATGTGGATCTTATACTGATAAAAGCTTAAAGAGAATGTATGGGACATCTTTAACAGAGACATCTGCATTGCACTTTTTTCTCCTTTTCTAGTTTGAAGCCAAAACACTGAAGTATAAAAAAAGAAATATATGGATTGACAATGTCACAGCAAAAGCCCACTGAATTTCAGCACCTGATGGCAGAAGTGGTTTGTATTTATGAAATCAGGATGTAAAAAGGTGTTCACTTCACTCACACACAATAAGGTGGACTGCTGATGTCCAGAAGCTACTTAGCAGGCAGTTTGCTGAGAGGACAGGCATTTGTGTGCCAGCTCGCAGCTATGTGTCAAAGCTGGCTGTCAGAATGCAAATAAGGTAACAGGGCATCTGTCAGGCAGAGTCCGACCTAATAGCTGCATCAAAGTTTGGAAAAGAGTCAAATATTTCAGGTCTGCAATCTGACAAGAATTATTTGTTTTTGTTGGTGCATATACATACTTTTCATAAGCATTATTTTACTTTTAATCATTCTTATATTCTTTTCTCTATTTTGAATGAATAAAAAAATATGTTTACCTATTAAAAACAAGACTCTTTTGTCATTATCCTGCCTTTTGTGGACTTTTTGAGTTTTAATTTACATTTTAACTGAAATCATTCTGTTTTCTTGCTAATTGTTTCTTTTTCATTTTGTGTCATTGTAGTTGTTTTCTAGTTATTTTTAAGCAGTGTGTTGGTTTTTGGCTACGTTCAGACTGCAGCCTGAAGTGACCCAAATCCAATTTTTCTGCCTATATGTGACCTGGATCTGATCTTTTCATGGCAGTCCGAACAACACAGATCCGATTTTTTCAATTGCGACTCAGGCCACTTGGCTATGTGGTCCTGAATCCGATTAGAATCTTATCTTTTCAAATGCGACCTGTGTCTGAACGGCCAGGTCGCATTAATCCGACCTGAACGCCATTAGTAACCGACATAGGTCACTATTCTGCTTCTTGCTACACAGAAGCGGCAAGAAAAACAACAACAATGGCAGACGAT